CCCCCGGTGTGCTGCCAAGGGCAGACGCGTTATGCTTCACTAATGGCTCATTCGGGGCGCCTTGACGGAGACCCGTGTGTTGGGCTCCCGGGGGTCAGCCGTTTGGGTGGGACGACCCAGCCACCAACGTGACAGATGATCCGTCAGCTGGCTCGAAGGTGTAGCCGGGAGGGAGCAGGGGTGCACACACACACACACACACACATGAACGGAAGGTGTCGCCGGGCGGACCGGGTACACCCACACACACACTCGGATGCAGGGCTGCTCGCGGGTCGAACGTTGTGGTCCCCTTTTGTGGTTGCTGGCGGGGGGGCGAGGGCGCGCAGGAAGCATGGACTCACGTTGGTGTGAGCGGGCACCGGCCGGCGGACGGAATGGAGAAGAGCCGCAGGAGCCGCTATCTGCCACGGCCTCAGGCTGGCCCGTCACCACCTCTTTCACCGGTGGTCCATCATCTGCACGGGCATCGGCGCCTGCCAGCCATATGATGCTGCGGTTAGGCAGGATGTTGACCTTGCGGAAGGCGGCCGAGCCAATCCAAAACGTTGAGCCCAGGAGGACAGAAGGCCAGATGGCATGCCGGCCGACGCCCGGGCCGGCCACCCCAGGGGGCGGGCGCGGGGCAAACACCCAGAAGCCCACGAACCGGAATACACCGCGCAGCATATGATTGCCCCCCCCCCCCCCCCGCGCGCGCGAGCTGCGGCTCGGGTCAATGGCGGTGCAGACTCCCGACCCCGCCCCCGACCTGTGTCTCGCCATGGAACTCGGGAAACTCCCTCGCAGCGTCCGAGGCCGAAGGTGGGGCCAAGGTAAGCCACCGGGGGCCACCCGTCGGCCCAACGCGATGGAGGCGGCCACACGCGCCAGGGGCTGAGCGGTCTCTTCCAGCCTGGCCCCCCCCCCCTCCCGGTCAGGGCGTGTGGACCCGCACGCGCGAGCACTGCTGGCAGTAGTAAGGCCGGGGGGGGGGGGGGGGGGGGGGGGGGGGGAGGAGTGGGCGTGGGGGGAGCTCGTGGGGGGGGGGGGGGGGGGGGGGGACGCGGCTTCCCACCGGGCCAAATGGCGGAGCGAAGGTCAGCAGCCCCATCTACCGGGATACCAAGCGGGGCGTGCGTCTTTTTGGTCCCGTCCTGGCCGGGTGGGGAAGGAGAGGGGGCGCACCGAGCCCAGCGGGGCGGCTGACTGTGGGTCGTTGGGAGGTGGACCTCGAGGTCCCGTGCCGACGGAGGGCACGTGCAATAACAAAACTACATTAGATGTGTCATGATCCAGCAGAATAGTATTCACCCATGCGCTCGCCCCTCGCATTATCTCCTTGAGCTAGCGCGACCCCCCAGCCAGGGGCATGCCTTGCTGGGAATCCCCAGCGCACCCGTCGGAATAGAAGCACCCCGGGAAAAAAAAAAAAAAAAAAAAGGGGGAGGATAGGGGGGTTGGTCGAGTGACCGACTGTTGCTTGGCCCGGTGGGATCCGGCCCAGGGGGCGGGGGCGCGGTTGTGTATATGCATTTGCTTGAGTGGGGACCCGGACTTTCCGGGTGCCAACTCTCGGCGGTCTTGCCTTGTGACCGGTCTCCCGCACCCTCCGGCCAGCGCGTCACTCCCGGGTCGACGCGCGCGCGCGCGCGGGCGTGCCTGCGTGCGCGTGTCCGTGTGTCCGTGTGTGTATGCTCGGGGAATGACCGATCCACGTAAGGGATGCACAGCCTTTGACAATGCCCATCCCCAACTGAGGACTGTGGGGCCTCGGGGGTGGGGCCCTTTCCCTGGCTCCATCCTTCTGGGTGATGATGGTCTTGTTCGGGTTGAGATTTCGTGTGGCCCACCCCGTCCGTCGGGGGCCGGCATTCCAAAGATCCATGCCGTGAGCTCCGCCGTAACAAACAAATCGGAGACGCGTGCGGCGGAGAAGAGCCCGGCGGCGGGGCTGGGCAAGAGACCGATCGATCAGGCCATGTGTCTTTTGGGAGAGCCACTCGAGCGTTGTCAGTGCCGGCCACAGCCGCGGCTCTCGCACCCGCTTGTGTGTGTGTGTGTGTGTGTGTGTGTGTGTGTGTGTGTGTGTGTGTGTGTGTGTGTGTGTGCGTGGGTGTGCGTGGGTGTGCGTGTACTG